TAAGTTGACTTGATGAAAAGTAAGTACATAAGTTGACTTGTTGATTAACATGACAACGATTTAACATGAGCTTCGGTCGTTGCACTAATGGGCAGGTGCGTCCGGGTGATTACCAATGTCTCCCAGTCGACCGGCGTGAAGTGAAAGTTTTTTTTTATGTGAAAAATTATGAAACGAGCAGACGGTTTCACCTGATGTTAAGTGAAGACCGCCGCCTAAAGACATCTGCAACACCCAATGGTTGCAGATGCGTTGGCAACCTTTTGAAAATTGGGCTCCAGTCACCTCACTCACCAAAGGAAGGAAGAAACGCGAAAGTATTATACTTCAACTTTACGCCCGTCTTCTGTGAGGTCGTGGTACTTACCCGGGCGCGCATGCCCATTCGTGCAATAGCCGAGGCTGCTACGTGGCCATACCACCGTAATTTTATATAACCACCACAGTGTTATATTTCCGCTTTTCTTCCTGTGAGTGAGATAGCCAGGGCCTATTTTATTTTAAGGTTGGGCGGCGGTTATGATTTAATATCTAGAGAATCGCTAGCTTGCTTGCCACCCTATCACATATTATTTGTAAGTGTTTGCTGACATGAGTGGAAATCTGCAATATGCTTATTTTATGTGAAATGTAGCCAAGCGAGCAGACGGTTCACCCGATGTTTAGTGAATACCGTCTTCCATGGACATCCGCTACACCCGAGGTTTGCAGATGCGTTGGCAACCTTTTGAAAATTGGGCTCCAGCTACCTCCCTCACGCTATTGTAGCTATATTCACTTGTTAGAAACATAAAAATATTATGTAAGCATAAGGAACACGATATAGAAGCATGCCGTAGCAGACAACAAAAAGAAAGCGATGTATTTATTCTGTTTGTTCACTCCCAAAGTTCCGGAAGCCGTAAACAACTGGGCGGCGGGACACCGCTTACAAAAAGATAAGGAACGACCCGCTGTCATAAAATATTACACGACGGGAAACACTAACCTCGGCCGTATTACATTGCCTCCTGAATGGTCCAAAAGCACGGCGCTTTACAGGGCCGCCTGTATTTAACGCCCCCCATTGCAAGCGTCGCATGGTTTACGGCCGCGCCGCGCCATGAAATTTTCAAAGCAAATTGGCTCGATATTCGCCGCTGCTAGGCACTACTCGTGAAACTTCGGACTTGGTGAATAATGCTACCACATATTCAGCACCCTAAAAGGAAGATATTTTCAGAAATTATGTTGGACTCATATTTTACTTCAAGACTGGATGAGGCGGTTTGTTTCCTATCAGGAATTATTATCATATAGATATGGATATTCGTTCAGTAAACTATCGTGATCTAATATAGTAGGTGTTTCGTAATCACTATATCAGTTGGCATGACCTTGATTATTCGACTTACGTATATTTAGTTGAATTTTATACGAGCACTTCCTGCTAGATAACTATTATTCTTATTCTCCATTTTGTAATCTACTGTGAAGAAGTCACGTATTAGTTTTAGTCAGTTCTCTAAATAAATATCGAAGTGTCAACGGCAGGTTTTTAAGGACGTTTTAAAAACATAAATTTCACACGGACAAACACCCAGGTGCGAAATAACTATCTGTGGGTCACACAAATAGTTGTCCCGTGTGGGAATCGAACCCATGACCCCCGACGCCGAATCCGATACCTTGGCGACTGCGCCACGGAGTCATCAAACATTTCATGTATAAATTCCAGGCCAGGTATGATTATTGGATTAGAGAGCGCCTCAATATTATAATAGTACAGATACATATATTGATAATGACCAAGATGTTAATCGCAGTTTGAAATTTTTACATTTGAAATTGTTCCGTTCCTCTCCGTATCTGAAACCCTCATTGTAGCAGATGTCTATGGCTGACGGTATTCACTTAACATCAGGTGAACCTGCTCCCTTGGTAACTTTCACATAGAAAAACAGGATCGTAGCGGCGGGAAACTCGCCTGCGATGCCTAGGGCTCATTTTCATGTGCGAGACATTTTTTTTTTAATTTAACTTTAACCTCAATTAACCTGTGTCCATTCGCTAGAATTGCTTTATTTATATAACCCCAGCCCATAGTGTATTATTTTAAAATTCCAAGTCTATTAAGTTTGATAAAGAACTTCAATCCTGTAAAATCGAACCTAAAGGAACATTAGTATTTGAAATATCATCCAACGAACTTTTTGTTATTCTTAACTAGATTTCGTTTTGAGGAACCCGTCCTGTTCATAGAACTTTTATTTATCTTACTTCTGAAATCTTAGAACTTAGTTATACACTTTCTTTATATTTTCAAGGTTTGATTCAAAAACCAAGAGATATTAATGAAAAATTAGTTAAATATTTAGCGACTGAAACACTTTAATATTGATGTTGAATAGAGACGAAGATTCGAAATAGGAACGACGAAGAAGATATTTCATTTATTGTATTATTATTAGCGCAAGAAATTAACCGTATAAGGAACCTACAGAGTAATAATTATTATGTATGTAAAATATAAAATTTTCCGTATCATCTGAAATGCTCAGGAGGGTCCAATATGAACACGAATTCTCTAAGAACATAATATAATAGTACTTGGAGGACCGAGCTTTGCTCGGTTTATTTATTTTTTGGTAAATCGTGTATTTTGGAAATTACATTGAGATACAAATTACTGAGTAATGAAATATGCATAATATTTTTCGATCTTACCTACGTAATAATAAGAAAATATAAACTGGTGTTTTTTACAAATACCACTTCACTATAAAAAAATGTGAAAAAATAACAAAATCATCTGGATCGACAAAAAATAAAAAAATAAAGAAAGCAATGACCCGGAATCGAAAAAAAAAGTAAAAAAATAAGTGTGTAAAGTAAAAAAGTAATCGTGACACGAACCACGGCCTTCTGTTTCGGAGCCGCACGATTACCGACCGAGCTAGTATTACATTTTTTTTGCGGCGAAATTTACCGTCATATTGTTCGATCGATTTTTCTAATGAATGAAACATACTAAATTTCATGAAAATCGCCGGAGCCGTTTCCGAGATTCCGATTATATATATACAAAAATTGCTCGTTTAAAGGATAAAAGTATATTATGGCTTTAGAGAATACATATTATGTAATGTCCTATTATTACTAGTCTTCTAATCCAATGGAAAAATTCACTTGACCGTAATTATTATTGAAAACCAATTGAAATTGCATCAAAAAAATAAAGAAAGACGGTTTTCAAACTGTGGAGAATGCGCTGGACTGATTTGTCTGCCTGTTTACGTGCATTTATATAGGATTAACGTTAGGCAATAGGTACAAACTTGTTAAACTGCTTTTTTATGTATGTATCGCTGCTTTCCCGGCGACTTTGAAATTAACAACCGGACACTAACGCGAACGTAAACAAGCGTCGCCCGCGAAACGTCCTCATCGACCCGGTCGACGAAGAGGTCTTAGATACGATGGACCCACCGCCGGGGGTCCCGCCGGATAACACTACACCCACAGTTAGTGTAACAACAATCACACCAGTTCGCCCTCGCCTCCGAGCACGGCGAGACCCACACAACGCGTACAAAAGGTACACCCGCGTTCCGGGGCGGTTCTCGCCGCTCCCAGCCACCGATTAGCTAAATGCACAGTCGACGGCCGTCGGGGTCTCGGTCCGAACCGCGACCTCGACGGCCCTTAGATGACACACCATAGTAGTTAAACGCACGCATGAGCACATGCGCGACCCTACCCATAGCGGAGGGTCCAAACCCGTGGGTTCTGGCTAGCCCACCGGTTCTGGGTCCGATGAAGCTTTAATAGTCTCGGGACTGAAAGCAAAAACATCAGTTAATACAAGATACAAGGTACGGCGACTTTGACAGCTTCACCGGAATATTGACGACCCGGATGGCGTGGTGGTAGTTAAGTATGTTTATCAGTTATCTAGTAACCATAGTGCTTAACCGTTGCTTAGTTTGGGACTTGTGAACGTTGTGTAAAAATAGGTCCCAAAAATATTTATAACACATCCGTAGAGAGATAGGACTCAAGAGGAAAACGTAAATGATGCTCAAAGATGGGTTCCGCTTTGCTGAATATACTCGATCCTTGTTCATGAAAGTGGACAATCAACTAACAAGGAGGGCTCGATACAATCTAAGGGTCAAACTGAGGTTCTAAAAAGCTATCATATTGCTAAAGAAAGTAATATGGTCTAAATTGCAATTTAATCACGAGACACCACAACGTCGTCCAATCGCTTACGAAAACGAAATTACGACAAGTATAATTTATAACAAAAAGAAAATCGACATCAATCAGAAAATTAAAAACATTGTTAATACCTATAACATTCAATGATGGCCCTCAATTTCTCTGGGATGCTGAGCATCAGATCCCGGTTTCCTAATCACGGTACCACCCTTGGGATATCTCCTTTTTGCCAAAAAAAAGAATCATCAAAATCGGTACGAAATCCACGAAAACAAAAAAAAATTATATACGGCCGAATTGAGAAACCTCCTTTTTTTTGAAGTCGGTTAAAAACTATCAATTTACGAGAATTACAATTATTTACGTAAACAAAAAGTATACATAAAGGAAGTAAAGTAAAAGCCTATACATGTCCCACTGCTGGGCAAAGGCCTCCTCTATACAGATGGTATCAGAGCATAGTCCACCACGCGGCCACACTGGCGGACTTCACATATCTGCGAAATATATATATTTTTTTGTTAATATTTCGAAAGTATGCAGGTTTCTTCACGATTGTTCCCTTCACAGCGGAGCACGTGATAAGTCAGCACTTAAAGTTAAAAAGTTCATTGGTGCCGGCACCGGGGATCGAACTAAGGTTGCTCGAGTATTTTGAATTAAAGGCGAGCGCCCGGACACTGAGCTATCACGGCTCTAATAAGTATATATCATACGTATACGTATATAATCGATTTTCGAAAACGTAAAAGAAAATTGCTCATATTTAGCTTACACTATAATGTTCTTGGTTGCAGCATACGCGCAGCATGCGTCGGTGGAGGCCCCGCCCCGCCGCGCCCCCCTCTAGGTGCACGTGATCCCGCGCAGTCGTCATGACAACGCTAGTTGCACTGCTCCTCGTACTGTTCCTCGTCCACTGCGACACCAAGACCGTTCTGCAGGACAAGCTCGGTGAGTGTTCCCACTAAGATCACGAAGAGAAATGGTTAAAATGACCGTTTATGTTTTTATTCTTTGGTTTTGTTGTGTAAAACGATTATTCACAGATCTGTTGAAGTAGACTGTGCTATGACATTTTACGGTGCATAGCGGCCACATAAAACGAACGTAAGGGCAACATGACGGTGTTATTTCTTATTATTTGGTACTTCATCATCATCATCGTCAGCCGCAAGACGTGCGCTGTTGAACAGAGGCCTCATTTGTTACTTATAGGAAAGAGAAACAGTTAATCTAAATTTATTCCTCTAGAACCCTATTCCTGAGATATGAGACAGCGTCATAATTTCGTAAATGCTTAGATTTACATGTCAAAGAAACGTGTCACCGAAACCATAGTCTGTTAACATTTCAATATGGTCCCGCGGGAAAGGGGCGCGTGTAAAGAGACAAAATAATAAAATCAAATCAACAGCACGAGCGGAAACTTTCTCCCCTTTCATTCTCCGATGACGCACAATGAGAGGCCAAAGTGGAACCAAGGAATTTCTCTTTTCAATGGACTTTGAAAAGAGAAAGAAGTTCGTTGTTTTCTTTACAGCCGACGTAATACAATGTCATCTGTTTTTAGCTGTACTATTGGAGATCATGTGATCTTAGCATGGGATTGAGCATTAAGTTAGCTTAGCATATAACATGTATTTACCAGATACGGCTACGCTACACGTGTACTACTAGGACTACAACATGGCGACTTTCCATATTTAGATGAAATAGTTATTCGCTAACGAGTTACCATACTATTTAATTTTGAATACATTAATTAAATTTGTTACAAGAATCTGTCTCTCAATATAACATCATAATCTGACTATTGTGGTAGGACCACGCGACAGTATTCGTATTTTGCACGAATGGGCAGGTCCTTCCGGGTTAGTACAACGACCTTACAGAAGATCGGCGTAAAGTAGAAGTGTTACACTTCTGCGTTTCGTCAGGTGAGTGAGGTAGCCGGGGCCCACTTTATTAAAAGGTGGTTAAAGGTTGCAAATGTCTGTGGGGGGGCAGTTATCACTTAACATCAGGTTAACCGCCAGCTCGTTTCCCACTTTTTCACATAAAAAAAGTTAAGGTGCTAAAGTAAGTACAAGGACAATCGGGGACGCCCCGTCTTTATCAAATCTATATCAACAATTTGGAATAACTAAAATGCCGTGAAGTAAAATAAATAACTTCATTGACAAAACAGGTCACTCGTTTTGCAAGCCGCTGGTACTTTAAAACAGAGAAGTTTAAGAAAAATATCATATCACAGTAACATATTATACGAAAGTATATTTAGATATATTCGATGAAATTTGAAAGGACCATATACGCTGAATTTATTTATGCGGGATCAAGAAATTATTAAATGAGTAGGAAATATCCTAAGCATTTATTATTTATAGTAGTTATTCAAAGAGCGCGGAGATGTAGAAGGGTTTATAAGTTCACCCTTTCATCCATTCTGCGTAGACCAAGAGTCCTGTCAGTCTATTGTTATCCACAACGTTAAACCCGATAATAATATTATGCCATCCCGTTCATATTTTATTCATGGCAGCGTTCAATAGTTTATTCTCAGTTTGAACTTGATTTATTTGCTCCTTTTATTTATTTGGTCCTTTGTTCGTTGTTGGGGGAGGCGGCGGCATTAGTTGATGATATAAAAAAAGTTACGTCAGTTAAATGAAAATCTTTATGTGAAATACTTACGTTGTTATTCAGCGTCTAGAAATAGAGAAATCAGGAATTTCGGCGGTGTTTTCGAATTTACTCAATCGAAGATGAACCTGAGAGCCTCTTTTTTATTATGAAATTAGAGAAATTGTAATTTTGAGTGATAATACTGTATCGATCAATGGGTACTAGATAACTCATAAACATACTTGTAGATAATTTTCTTTTGTAAATAAATACATAATATAATACAAATATAAACACCCAGACTAGAAAAACACGGGGCAGGCTCGTCAGGGTTAGTACCACGACCTCACAGAAGACCAGCGTAATGGGCGGCCGTATTCATTTAACATCAGGTAAACCGTCTGTTCGCTTGGCAACTTTTCACATAAAAAAAAAGCAATATTTTACTAGTGGGGATCGAACCCACACCCTCTGATGCAGAAGGCAGGTACACTATGCCATTCGGGTCGTTCATCAGATAAAGAATGTTCAGTGAGTAACATATTGTAGACACTCGGGAGAAATTATAAAATTCCAGTTGCAGTGCGTAAAAGGACAAGACTCGTCTGGAAAAAATAATTAATTGTGACGTGTAGCATAGCGTGTAGCAATAGGAACGGGGTACAAAAAGTCCTGGCACTCTTTCAAAGTACGCACGTTATCCCGTACGCGGTGAGTATTAAAAATTATTCAACAATAAGTGCGCGGGCGTGTATTTCGGGGCGAGATTTCGTTATGCGGGCGTACCGTAGCGAATGCACTCACCTGCTAGAGTTTACTGGGGCGTGAGTTTCGCTCTTAATGCGTACCGGATAGCTGTTACCAATCTGCGTAGGGTTTTTATTTCTATGTGAATAAATTTGCTCGGTGGCGCGGTCGGCTACCAATGGACGCTATTTTGGGTGTAGATATATCGCCGTAGCTGTTTTTATAGCTTACAGCCCCTTGTTTGGAGTGAGAGATTATAAATATTGTGAAAATGAAAGAATTTTCAATTACGTAAAATATTCTCACCGGAAAAGCTCGTCTCCTAGGACGGGACTTAATTTTTTTCAAGTACTGCTACTAAATGGCGCTCTCACTCTTCATCATAATTTAAACTATATTAAACAACTGTTCGAGTTACTTGACTTATATTTCAAAAATGTGTGTGATTCTTTTTTTATGTTATAGGATTTTTTACAAAATAAAAATACTAAAAATTTACCTTGACCAAGTTTCGGAATACACTCTATCGACTAGGACTAAAAATAAAATTAATCATAAGTATGTTACAGTTATTATTTATTGTATATCCTTGTAGGAATTTCTCATATATCATGATATGAATTTATACCCAACCGTACTAATAAAACAATAGACAACGTAGAATACTGAACAAAACACTGCTTCATAATAGACCACAAAAAGATACTTAATACATGTGCATTGAAAATACTTTTTCATGGATTTAAACGAAGTTGTAACTTTTAGTTAATATGGCAAATTAGTCCTTGGAGTAGTCTTTGTTCTTTTACTAGGTTTGTTTTTCCGTTGTGTACTCGTATATTGTCACAAACTGACAACTTCTTTAAATCCATAGCCGTGCTTTTAATGTTCGGGTTTCAATTACGTCATATAAAAATACAATTTATTAAAAAATCAAGATCATTTGCATTTCTTCATTCTTAAATTACTTCGTTCTATACAGATATTAACGTGATTGTGATGATTCCACTGGAGTGCAATGAAAGGTTTCTGGCTACTTTAAGGTACCCTTATTCACGAAAATGCCAATGAAGTAGTATGTTTACACAAAATCTAGTACTGTTCCCGCGTATTAATATATAGATTAGCCTCTTAATACATAACATCTGGCAAAAGCAAACAAGAACTAGGGTGACATCGAAAGCAGTTGATTTATTCATCGTTGAATAAATAATAAACGTTTCCTTCGTTACCCGTTTGCGGGGGTTCCCCTTTTAATTAAATTCATGCTTTGGGCATAGGGGCTCTAAGGAGATGTTGGCAGAGCGAAGTTATGCTAAATAAATCAAGATAGCGACGCTTAGAGATCAACTTATACGACAATAACTAACTCCAATATCGCAGTTCCGAGTGTGTTAACGTTGATTGTAACTGTTGGGTTCCGCTCTAGATGAGTGAAAATCTATGGATCACTTCTCGATATCTGATTGAGTAGTAAGATGTTTTCTTTAATTTAGATTAAAAGTCTCATTGTCTGTCAATTCTACTTTACAGAAAGTTGTAGAGTAGATTTGACAGACAATCCACGGTCTGGCCAATTTTAACATGCTTCGTGTAGACCTAAATTCAGTTATGTCTTTAATGTGACAGATATCTATGATTTCTGATTGTATGATTTCATCTTCCTATGTATGAGATATATATTAAGTTTGATTGTCAAATTTGAAGTTCCTAACTTGATCGGGTTATGGTGTGCATCAGAGTATATTTTTTATCTGGGAATTTTTTAAAGGAATAAAATATTTTTTTTACCTTTTTTCCCAAAACTCAAAACAATATGGAAAGATAAATTGCTAAAATATATGCGTTTAATATTTTAAGTTGTCAATGATGATGTCGGGAGAGAACAAAGTGTAAGCGAATAGATACACACCACCACAATATGGATATATATAGGAAAGGATAGATTTTGAAGTAAGCTCTGTGGATGTTGTTACGTTTTTAAGGTTATTGGTGGTAAATGGATGTGGAAGATGTTAAATATGTTAATACATAATTGTATTGCATGAGAGTTAACCTGATGTTAAGTGATTACCGCCTCCGATACACATCATCAACAGTGTGTTTATTTTTCGACAACCTTTTATAAAAGGCCTCAGTTGGACGAAACGCGAAAGTATAATACTTCAAATTCAAGTTGGTCTTCTGCGAGATATTGGTACTTACCCGGACGGACCTGCCCATTAGCGGAACGGCTTGTTAACGTCATGTTATTCGCTAGTTCGCTTTCCAATATATCTTATTTTTGTTAAAGTTAAGTTTTTTTTAAAGTAAACCTAAATATGTCTCTTAAAGATCGAGTTCATTAATAATGATTACTTCAGACTCACCAAAAGTAATAAAATTGTGGTACTTCCTCGAACGAGTTTATCGATGGTAGTGCCACGCAGCAGCCTGGGCTGTTGCATGAATGGGCAGGCTCGTCAGGGTAAGTACCACGACC